CCCCAAAACCCCAAAACCCCAATAGTCAGGATTCATGCTTAATCATGTTAAATAAAAAAATACTTAACATATATAAAATACATTAAATTAGATCCATAAAAATAAGCTTAAAATTCGACCTATAAATATGGAATTCAGTTCAAATATATAGTAATAGCAGAGTAATACACTTGAAAACGCTGCCAATATTCAGAGGAAAAATGGAGAAAAAATAATCATTAATGGGATGAAGTATATTGTGATTGGAATGGGAGCTTTAGCAGTGCATGGTGCATTATTTAGAGATAAATGAGAATCTCTTCACTTTAGAATTATTTCTCCAATGATAATGTGCATTGCTGCAATAATTATTAGGACTATTTTCATAATCTATCCCAAGAACAGATAATATTTGCCATTTATCCTAAATTTTATTGGAATGGTGAATGTAAGTGAGCGTTGTATAATAGAATATCCTCATAATTTCTAGTTAGCTGAACCGTAAGTTAATCTATTACTCATCATCCTAAGTATATATTTTATGAATAGATTATTCGTGGTTTATGCAGCTTAAGAATTCTACAACAATTCCCTCTCAATATCAAGAAATCTAAAACTTTTGTAGAACACTATATTGTGGGGGTACTACCTTGGTAGAAATTACTTATTCTATGGTAAAATATTGTATTTAGTCTTTACATCTTTAATTCTAAGAATTTATTTTTGATAGGCTACTTTTCTCCTGATTTAGTCTTTTGCACATTGATTTTGATAATTTTAAGTGATTTAGCAGCAAAATCGCATGAATAACACTTGAAATGCATTTAAAAATTAAGTGAATTTAGAGAGAAAGAGGTATCTTATTAATTAACTTGAAAACTCTTGAAAAACTTTGTTATTATTATAAGTATGCCTCTAAGCGATTTGATACCGGAGAATGAACTACAATAGAAGGTGATTGAACTAAAAAAATCTCAAAACCTATAAAGACTGCTACTAGGATTAAAGTTTCTATCTTGTGCTCTATTTGTTTTGTCATTTATTGGTTTGCTCACGAAAGAAAAGAATGAATCAGTACATTCTAAATTCACAGTAGTATTTATTCTGGCAATTTGCACAAGCCTAATGAGCATCCTCCAATGGAGATTCCCTAATATTTAACAACATATTCCTTATATTCTGAGTTATCTCGGAATGATAGTGACTACTGAAAGAAATATCATATTATATCCTGAAAGTTTCCACTATGCTGAGCCGTAACTATTATTAAATCCTTGATTACTATTTAGACTCTTCTTTATTTAGACTGGAATTGAATTTTTCAATATCGCAACTACAATCGATAGAAGAGCAAAACTCTTTTAAACAGTGACGTTATGGAGTTATTATGCTGTCAGAAACTATATGCACTATTGTAATTACATTACTAGTCTCTAATGGTTTATCTTAGAATTCTTTTCAGTAGATTTTTTAGCCTGTGTATCAATAATGATAATGTTTTGTGATTTGACGAGTGCACAGTATGAAGACTACATTAATAGTATTACAGAACTTCTTATCAGTAGAAATCATATGGTAAGTTAGAAGATGAAAATACATTAAAATAAAGCTACATCAAAACTTTTTCCTTCATTATTTTTCATTTTTAACTCATTTATCAATATAACTGATTTAGGTTATCTAGAGCTTCATCAGTACTCTAAAAGTTGTTCCTCATGGAATCGTTGTACTAAATTAGTAAGATTAGGAAATTTCCTACGTGAATGAGGAAACTGCAAAAATATTTCATGAATCAGACTCTAGTAAAATAAAGTGTAGGCTAAGAAACTTCAAACATAAAAGTCTTACTATATAAGAAGAATCTCATGATTCATTTGAAAGTATATCTATTTAGGATTTGGCTTGTCCACCTTTAATTAAAATTGATGATGATTAGCAGGCAAATAACCAGAATCTTTATGACTCAGACAAGCAGTCAGCTAGGAGAGATAAAATAAATCTACTTGAATATTTACAGAGAAAATAGCGATATCAGATTCATGATTAAAACGACCATCTCTTTAAAGATGTCTCGAATAAACAATATATTTTAGTGAAATGTACTCCAATCAATGCAAAAACTTAGCTGCTTGTATGCTTTAATGATATTTCAAAGCTCAAGTATCTTGAAAAAACTTCGAAAAAGATTAAATCCATGTTCTTCTCATCAATAGCTCATGAATTAAGAACTCCCTTAAATTCAATCATACCAATTAGTAAATAATTAAGGCAGCAATTCGTAAATGATTAAGAGGTCAGATTTTACCTAGATATTATAATTAATTCTTCACATCATCTTGAAAATGTCATAGAAGATGCACTTGATATGAGCAGAATAGAAAACAACAAATTTGAGATAAATATGACTTCCTTTGACTTAAGATAAACAATACAAGAAATAAAAGAAATTATGGAATTTTAAGCAAAGCAAAAAGAACTTAACCTGAAAATTGATATTAGTAATATGGTACCTAGCTAAATAATTACTGATAAGAAAAGATACCGTCAGGTATTATTTAATCTAGTAGGAAATGCTTTAAAATTTACCTATGAAGGATATGTGCACATAAATGTTAGCTACTAGAATGCTATGCTAGTAACACAAGTGACAGACACTGGAATAGGAATTAGTTCAGAGGACATTAAGAAACTTTTTGTCTTTTTTGGTAAAGTTGACTGTCAAAAAAGCATCAATCAAAGTGGAATGGGATTGGGACTTACAATTTCCAAGATGATAGTTGAACAACTTCATGGTAGCATAAGTTGTTCTTCTATAGTTAATCATGGATCAAAATTTACATTTTAAATTCCTATCTATCTTACGGAAAATTGCTCCAATACTAGTCACATATAAAGCTAGTCATTAAACAGAGATCATCATAGTTCTCAAAATAGAGATTCTTAAATTAGTCACAGAATTTCTAATAATCAACAAAATAGCTTGCAATCTCATAGATTTAATTAGACCTCAATAGAATCATTATTCACAAGGGAAGATTCAGTATTTGACTGCAATATTGAGGATGAGGATGAATAGGATTAACTATCTCTTAAGATTGGTAGCTAATACTTAGCTGATAAAGGAATTAAAAATATGTCAAATGTTAGAAATGATATAATTATGAACCCAGTAAAAGTTTTCAATGTCCTTTTAGTTGATGACTCTCCTTATAATCTAATAGTATTAAAAGAACTTCTTAAAAAAATAGAGGTGAAGATGGAAATTCAAAAAGCAATGAACGGATAAATGGCTCTGACAGTAATACGAAATCATAAAAATCTTATAGATGTAAATAACTGTATATTTGACTATATATTTATGGATTTACATATGCCAGTATTGGACGGATTTTAAGTAAGTTCTAATCTTTAACATTTTTTAGACTGTTTAAAAAATTAGAGAAATGGAAGAGTAGGGTATTATCAACATTTCTAATACAAAGGTTATTGGATTTTCTGCTCTTACCTATAGATAATTCTAAGAGAATCCTAATTCAGATTTATTTGATCAATTTAGTAAAATATTCAAAAATTATAAATAAACTTTTAGTCGAAAAACCAATTGAGTTAAAAACATTAAGAGAATTATTTGAGGATGGTGGAAATATGTTATGAATTTAGAATTTTATTAAATTATTTTTTAATTAAAAACTGATTGTAATCTCAACTCATGGGGTTTTGGGGTTTTGGGG